AGCAAGTACCACTGCCCAGATTTCTGTGTTAGATAGCACAAAACGTGATTCGTGATCGTAACTTGCACTGAACGTATGGAATTGCTTGAAGGCCGACTGACGTCCGTTGGTGCCACGAATCACACTGCCGAACGCAAAACGGGTTGACTCCAGGATAAATCGTAAGTTCCTTACACCCTCATGCTTCAGATTTTGCTTAAATTGATCCACAGGGATTATCGTATGCGATGAAGTCGCTTGTGACATTTCTAAATATTTCAGTTGCGCTGTTGCGTAGTTATGGCCTTCGGGAATTTCGACTTGCGTGCTTGCAAGTCTACCTTTGATAACGATTTTTCCACTTGCTTGAAACATGATTTGTCAAAAGTTTATGATGCAACGATCAGAAAGCTGTTCTGAATATTTCTATGCCGCTCTTGAAATCGTCATCGCACAAGGAATAGTAATCAGGGCATTGTGAGCTTTTGCAAGACACGAAGAAATATTTTCCCGTGTGATACTGATCTTGAGCTCATTTGCATGTGAAAGAGTGTAGTTTGATCCCCAAATTCCGAATATAAAAAGGTGGTTATCCGCTTGGAAAGGTATGGTCCACGCACCGATGAATCATGCGTCACGCACGAAGACTGCGCGCGGCGCACCTCCGCGGCCGGCTTCCCTCCCCCATGTGTTCTGTCGGGGCTGTGGTAATTGGAGCAGGGTGAGGGTGAAGGTGAGTGCGTACTGTTAAGGTGATGTTCCTTGTTCAGGTGGAGCGAAGGCCCAGTGATCAGGCCTTGGGCCAGTGCCTGTTTGGCTGGAGAGCGTGGCTGTAAAGGCGGGGTCGTGCGACAATGAAACGCTCAAACAACCCAGTTGTGCCGATCCATTTGGGAAGCACAACATGAGATCACGGCGAGATCTAGAGGGAGTTTGCCACATTTTTCGTGCTTTCATTTATTGTTAGATCAGGCGCGTCCAATTTCATCGGTGATGCCAGTTTTCTCGAAATCCTGAAAAGCTCCGAATTTCGATTTGAAGTAGGTACTACCGCGGGACAAATCTCATTGGACTCCCTCCGCACCATTATGAAAAAAATAAATTTCATTTGCATTGTCTTTTCCACCGGGTGTGTTCTGTAATGCCTGCAACAAACTATGATGTCTTGCTATTATCCCGCGAATTTTACCAAGCGTTACACTATGGCCTTGATTCTCCCTTAGGGCGTTTACCACAGTGGCTTTTTCGAAGCGCACTTTGGCTTTTGGAAAGGGAGTATCACATGGTCTAAAGTGACGCATTGATTCAAACTTTAAGCAATGCGCTTCATGGTAGCTCATTCTTGCCACCTGCTCTGTCAATCAGAAACACTTATTTGTGCTGACTTCATTCACACCAGCAGAGGTGCCACTTTTTAGCCGGCGGGTCCGCGATGTGCCGATTAAAACAGCTCCGAAGTTATTACCTCTAACCCGTAATAGCTGACCTTCAGCAGATTCTGACGTCGCATTGACGACAGCGGTTGTCATGACGGCGGTCGCGACAGGGGTCGACCATGAGGTGGGTCTCGTGGACACGTTTGAGGTTCGAGGCCGTCGGACTGTGTGCAACCTCCAGCGCCTCCGAATAACGGTCAGCTTGACATACGACCGCCTTAGGGTTTTCGAGGATACATTTGCGGTATGCCGTGCAGTCGCGCTCGAACTTTCGGTGTCATCGGGACATTCAATGGATTTGTTACGTAAAAGAACGTGCCCCGGGCAAGTCTGGTGTCTGAGAAGCCGCTGTCTATTAGGGAACACCGCACGGCGATCCACGGCTGGCACGGGCGGCGGGTGGCAACGGACGATTCTGTGGACCGCGCGCGACTGGCCGACACCGTTACATCAGCGCATTCTTGCAATATGAATATTTGCAGAAACAGGCCTGTCTAAAAAGCGTGCGGTTTTGACCTTGAGAAACGTCAAAACTAACCTTTGACCTTTGGTGTGGTGTAACACAATCAGTACATGCAACTTACGTTAAACGCGATATGTTGTTGACGTCCATCCGCTGTTTTTCCGCGAGGCCTTTTCTTTCTTAGTTTGAAAACTCAAGGGATATCGCATCAACCCCCTCCCTCCCCATCCGTCCGCGCTATGAAAAGCGGCGATCATGGCGAGGGTTGAACGCTCCGCAGCCCAGCGCCAGCGCCATCCAGCCATGCGTCGGCTTCTCCTGCGCCGGACACGCGGCCGCTCCAGTGCCGAGCGTGCGCACGCTCCAGTGCCGGAGACGCATCCACTCCAATTTTTGACAAGCGGCCCCTCCTTTGCTGGACATGCAGCCTCTCCTGTGCCGGACATGCTGCCTCTCCTGTGCCAGACATGCTGCCTCTCCTGTGCGGGACACGCAGCGGCTCCAGTGCCGAAGGTGCGCCCACTCTAGTACTGGAAGGCCTCTCCTGTTTCGGGCAAGTGGCCCATTCCGCGCCGGACATCCGGCCGTTCCTGTGTGGGACATTCAACAGCATCGGTGATCAAAGCGGTGACGCTCCAGTGACCGGGTCACCGCCGCTGCAATGAGGCGCTGCTGCCGCACGCTGTGTTAAGATACAAAGCATTAAAATGGCACAGTGCGGCTAATGCAGTAAGCATTTTGCACCTGACTTTTTACGAGTTCGCGATGTGTAGAAATAAGGTTCTCGGTCCGTTGCTGGTTCACCGCCGATGCAATGAGGTACTGGTGCCGCACGCTCTATAAAGATGCAAAACATTAGAATGACGCAGTGCGGCTAATGCAATAAGCATTTTGCGCCTGACTATTTTCACGAGTTCGCGATATGTAGTCATAAGATTCTCGGTCCGTCGCTGGAACATATGATGCGCTGTACGTGAATATGTCCATAGCAGGTTAGCGGGCAAGCTAACCTGCTATGCTAATAATGTCAGATATGCTATGCACGCTGCCTTAATGCTACTTAGCCTCGATTTTGTTCCATGAGCGGCGGTGAGATTAGCATTGTGCCATACACTGAACAAGGTCGTCATATAGCGAAATAGGCGCAGTGCCCGAAATCCGAAATAACCAACCAATCACGTGGAGCACGGCTCGTCACGCGGACTTGGGCCCGCCTTCCATGTAACCCAGTAAACCAGACCATGGGTTACATGGACGGCGAAATTTAGTGTTGGGTTTCTGGTTGGTGACTCTGGTTTGGGGAGTAAATATTTCCCATGCGCGAATTGCAACTGTTCGGAATATTATTTTGGGCATCATGAAAAGCTTCGAGCTTTCACTTTAGACGCTGCAGTTATACACACACGGAATATTGAAAATAACTGATATAAAACAACATGGCAATTCTCAACGCAGTTTGTGACATTAAAAAAATGTACATCTGATGGCAAAGCGGTTAAGAGTGATTTTTATGGATGGATTGAACCCCAGCAGAGCTCCTGCTCCGACACTGGCATTGCCCCAGCGTGTCGTGAAATAGTGCAGTTATGGTTTGAAGTGGCCGCTGACCAAACGTGTTCTGGGTTTTCTCCGTACATGCGACGTCTTCGGTTTGAGCCGAGCTGACGTGCTCACCGGCCTTAAGCCCGCTGCGCCGGCCACTCACGCACTAAGACCAACGCCCTAACCACCGGGACTTATGGCACGGTCAGCATACAAGTGAAACTTCCGAAGCAAAAATATGTATTATTTTTATGACGCGTTACACTTCATTGATCTTAGTTGTGTGTGCTTTATCGCTTTTGGAGTTATATTTCAACGATTTCTGATAGGCTTGGCTCCAGGTGATAATTTGGGCTATTCCAAATTGGTCATTGGCAGAAAATCATTCCTTCTTCACCGACCCCACTGGTGGTTACGCCCATCACTGGGTGATCGTTACGCCCATTGCTGGGGACGGGGTATCGAGTATCTCTTCTTGAGGAAGATGTTGAAATGCGGACGAGCTCAACGGAAAATGCCGACATGTTCCAGCCCCTTCTTTCCTTGCCACGAATGCAAGCAATGCACCGCTCCGCGACCCGGGGTCCATTTACGGGAGGCAAGCGCCACGGGTAGTGGCGTAGCCGGCATTTTGCACAGGAGAAAGCCGATTCGAGTCGTGGGCAGGGGCGGCGCCACGGATTTTGGGTTGGCGGGAAGGGGACACAGAATGTTACAGGGGGACTTGGAATCAGCCTCGTTTTCATGATGGGCACCGTTTTTTTTGGGGGGGGGGGCACGTGACCCGTATTCCCTTATATATTCATTATATGTATATATATATATATATATATATATATATATATATATATATGTGTGTGTGTGTGTGTGTGTGTGTGTGTGCGTGCGTGCGTGCGTGCGTGCGTGCGTGCGTGCGTGCGTGCGTGCGTGCGTGCGTGCGTGCGTGCGTGCGTGCGTGCGTGCGTGCGTGCGTGCGTGCCGGTGCGTGCGTGCGTGCGTGCGTGCGTGCGTGGTGCGTGCGTGGTGTGTGTGTGTGTGTGTGTGTGTGGGCGCGCGCGCGCGCATATGTATATGTATATATTTTTAATCTAAAATAAGGATCTTCGGATAAATGCAGGGGCTTCTTGGTCATGCAAAGTACTACACTATATTAAAACAGGCCTCTTGCTCCACCAAAAGGCGTTCTGGTGTGTTGACGGACCTTCTAATTCAGAACGTGATCCTTCCTTGTCATAAAGGGGCCAATGCCTGATTACCCGGAAACAGGACATCCTGATCCGAAACAACATCTTTATGATACCCGAAAGGATCTTACTGTTTCAGAAAAGGGGCCTCCTGATGGCTAGAGGGTGCCTCCTTATCTAGAACGGAGGCCTTCCAGTTCATAACGGGAGCCTCCCGAGCCAGCCAATGAGCTTCCTTGATACCAGAAAGGCCTCACGATCGGGGGTGTGGGCTACGCTATCCATACAGGTGTACCTGATCCAGAAAGCGAACCTTGACGCAGAGAATCGCTCCGGCTGTAGCCGTTGAGCCTGTGCATCTTTGTTCCACCCAGCTGATGGCGCCCCCGCCGCCAGGATGTACGATCACAAGAACCACGTAGGCCGCTACACGGACGACGAGGTGGAGCAGCTGCGTAACCTGCGCGCCATCCACGGCAACAAGTGGCAGACGATCGGCGCCCTCATGGGGCGCTCGGCGGCCTCCGTCAAGGACCGCGTGCGCGTGCTGCGAGACAACTGCAACCAGGGTCAGTGGAGCGGCGGCTGGCGCCCCGTCGTGCTGGGCGAGCACAGCGACACCGAGCGGCGGGCGGCCCGGTGCGGGGTGCGGCGCTGGCCAGGGTCAGTGGAGCGGCGGGCTGCCCGGTGCGGGGTGCGGCGCCGGCCAGGGTCAGTGGAGCGGCGGGCTGCCCGGTGCGGGGTGCGGCGCCGGCCAGCTCACCGGGCTGAGGGGCGCGGCGGTCAGGCGGGCGCACCATCTGCAGTCGTGGTCAGCAGAGGTCCCGTCCGGGCGGATTGGTCGCCTTCAAAACGGAGTTGGGACTGTTGGGACGGCTTTCATCGGTCGAAGATCGCCGATGACCGTTAGCCGTTGACATGTGGCACCTAGGTTGGGTGTTTGCTTGTGCCCAATCTGTAAACAAGCCAAAGTGAAACACGACCAATCAGCCTTTGACTGGCTCGGTATATATCGGGCACACCAAACTGGTATAGTTACCACCGTGATCATCTGGAGCATATCGATCTTCTATTGGGGCAATACAGATGAAATCGCCGAGCAATGCCAAAAAGCTCGCTGCGGTCGCAAAGATCGACGGGTTCCAAAAAACAGCCCCGCTGTCCTGCGGCAACGAGGACCGATCGCATGTGGTTGTGTTTCATTTGGTGAATCAAATTCCATTTCTGTGGTTAAGTTGGTAGAATGTTGGATACTCGTACCGATGTGAAGCAGGAAATTTGGTTGAAATATCAGAAACTGCGCATGGTCGTCTTCGGCGATCATTTGGCAGAAACCCGAACTAGTCTGAGGCAAGCGTGGCCGTGTCATGGCTTTGCTTACCACTTTTAAATGTGTCGGCAAACATCGTCCGTTCAATTGGGATGGCTCTTGTGTGGGTGTGGGGTTTCGGTTGGCGTTGGTTTCGGTTGGCCCTTCATCACGTACGTACCTGGGCTCGCCTGCGAGCGGCAGGCCTGAGTACCATTGAGTTTAAACGCAAACAGCGTGCTCATGGCTGTTCCAATTGGCGTGTAACTACGCAGCCTGTCTTGAACACACGTACCCATCTGGGACGCATAGATTAGACAGTGGTAATGTCCTTATTCCTCGGAGAAACAACAGCAGAGTGGAGATATAGAGCGGTCATAACCCATCGATATCAGCATTCTCTCGGTTTTTCGTCGAGGAATAAGGATGTTACTACTGTATTATTTATGCGAATAATGTTCCTCGCAAATGCACTGAACAACTTACGTAATTTTGAACCGTCTGGAACTCTGTCATAAGAACGCTGCTCGGTGAGACGCAGCAGCTCTGTGCCCGGTTCTGTAGTCTGGTCAGCCGGGGTCGGGGGCCGCGGCCGTCCGCCTCTGTCCGTCACTGCAACCGGGCCCTGTCGGCAGGCAAGTGGCTGAAAGAGGAGGAGGAGCGACTGGAGCAGGCCGTGTATGACCTGACGCAGACGCTGCCCGGCCAGCAGGTCACCTCCGGCATCAACTGGGCCGCCGTGGCACAGAAGGTAGTCACGCTAGCCGCAAACAGTAATGGGCCGGGAGTGCTTGGATTATGTCATATGTCAAGTTAGCATGTGACGGCACATTACCGGTAGGCTGAGTTGGGCGTCAGATTTGACGCGGGCTTAGTTTTATCGTGAAGAAGAGTAGGTTCTATGTTATGTTGAACTAAACCGGAGCCGATTTTTATGCTGAACTAAAGCAAGCATTATCAGCGTAACTACGCCTGGTATGCATTTGGAGTGCTTCCGTTGTGCCGCGACTTGAAAGCACGATTCCGTATATTTGAGACCCAAGCCTCGGGAACGGTATCAGGCCCTACTTTTGTAACGTGTTTCCTGGAGTTGATGGCGCGTACTCCGCGTGTATTTGTACCGCCGTGCCATGGCACCTCATCGCAGCTGGCGTGATGCTGACCGGACGCGCACTCACCAGGTGATAACGCGCTCGGAGAAGCAGTGTCGCAGCAAGTGGCTGAACAATCTCAGCTGGAAGACGACCGGCGGAGAGGAGTGGACCCGCGAGGACGACAAACATTTGATCGACGTGTGAGTGTTTCGGGTGCTGCGCGCGGTCGTGCGCGCATGGCCGTCGCCGCGGCGTTGGGCTCTGCTGGCCCTGCTGGCCAGCCGTACCGTACGCAGCGGCCTGTGCCGGATGCTGCGTGCGTAGCTGCCAGGCTGAGTTGGAGGCCTGTGCCTGATGCTGCGTGCGCAGCTGTTAAGCTGAGTCGGAGGCTTGTGCCGGATGCTGCGTGCGCAGCTATTAAGCTGAGTCGGAGGCCTGTGCCGGATGCTGCGTGCATAGGTGCCAGGCTGGGTCGGAGGCCTGTGCCGGATGCTGCGTGCGCAGCTATTAAGCTGAGTCGGAGGCCTGTGCCGAATGCTGCGTGCATAGCTGCCAGGCTGGGTCGGAGGCCTGTGCCGGATGCTGCGTGCGCAGCTATTAAGCTGAGTTGGAGGTCTGTGCCGGATGCTGCGTGCATAGCTGCCAGGCTGGGTCGGAGGCCTGTGCCGGATGCTGCGTGCGCAGCTATTAAGCTGAGTCGGAGGCCTGTGCCGGATGCTGCGTGCATAGCTGCCAGGCTGGGTCGGAGGCCTGTGCCGGATGCTGCGTGCGCGGCTATTAAGCTGAGTCGGAGGCCTGTGCCGGATGCTGCGTGCGCAGCTGCCAGGCTGGATCGGAGGCCTGTGCCGGATGGTCGCGGGACGTGCCTGATGCCTGATAGCTGACGATCGTCTGAGCCGGCGCCGGGGCTCGGGGGCCTGTGTTGGCGCCAGCTGACCGGCGCCTTCCGCAGGCTCTCCGACTCGGGTCTGGCGGAAGAGGGCGACATCGACTGGAGCTCACTGACCGAGACGTGGCCGCGCAACTCGGTCCGCTCGCCGCAGTGGCTCCGCGGACGATGGTGGACGCTCAAGCAGCAGCTGAAGAACCACCACCGCATGAGCTTCAGAGGTGGGGCGGCGCCGGACGCAGCAACTCGGGTCGCGACCACGTGACTCCGGTGACTGATGACGCCCTGATGGCGGGGCGGACGTGGCCGTGCGAGATTGGCGTGACCGACGCACGCGACCCCGCCAGTTCGTCTTGATCGAGCGTTTGGACCTGGTGCAGGCCGTGATGCAGGCACGCGTGGGGCTTAGTGTACCGATATCATACCGATTGACTCATCGCTTTCAGAGTGTGCATAGTGTGCCCCGGGCTGTGCTGTGCACCGTGCTGTTTCTGCGCGACGAGTGTCGTGAACCGCGCTATTCGCGGAACCCGGACTCAGCGGCGGCTGCGGCAGTGGCGCTGGCCCAGACCTGTCCAGCGCTCCAGCGGATGTGCTGTCCGTGATTTATCCGGCGCTCCGGCAGAGGTGCTGGTCGGCTTGCTGGCCATGAAGCCGCGTAGCCTGCTGGAGCAGCAGCTGGAGGCGGAGGCGGCCGCCGGCCTGGAGGACACCCCAGGCTCGCCGCCGCCGGCGCCGGCCGCGCCACAGCCTCTCATCCCGCCGGGCGCGCGCGTCTTCGTGGACCAGGAGGGCCGAGGTGGGTGGCTGGAGGGCGGGCTTTGGCCGCCGCGGTGGGCGCTGCGTGGCCCGCCTCGGCGACGCGCTCACACCTCCTTGCTGTGTATTGTCTATGTGGATGTATGTATCGACCCATTGAAGAGGGGTGATCTTACGTCGCAGTGGCTGTTAATCGTCAAATTAAACATGAGGGGCGCATGCACATGGGGCTAAAATCATAGTGGGTCGCCTAGCAATTCGTCATGACGTCACGATTTCGAGCAATGCACACGTCCAGTTAGGAGCCAATGGCATAGGTCATTACGATTGCAGGTTGAAATAACGAGTGCTCATGCGAAGACTTCTCAGTTGCTGGCGCGCGTGGTCACTCCGACCCTCAGGAGATCGCAGTTCACGTCACTGCACAAATTACGGGTGCTCATGCGAAAGCTTCTCAGGCGCTGGCGCACGCGGTTACTTCCGACCTTCAGGAGATCACAGTTCACATCACTGCACAAATTACGGGTGCTCATGCGAAAGCTCCTCAGGCGCTGGCGCACGCGGTTACTTCCGACCTTCAGGAGATCACAGTTCACATCACTGCACAAATTACGGGTGCTCATGCGAAAGCTCCTCAGGCGCTGGCGCACGCGGTTACTTCCGACCTTCAGGAGATCACAGTTCACGTCACTGCACAAATTACGAGCACTCATGCGGAAGATTCTCAGCCGCTGGCGCACGTGGTTACTTCCGACCCTCATTTATCACAGTTCACTTCACTGCACACCGTCACGGCAGTGGCGGGTTGACGAAGGCACACCGCAGCTGGTGTTCCAGGACTTCGAAGTCCGCCTGTGGGGCCGCGACGGTGTGGCGTGGTTGGTGGTACGGACTGCCAATCACCAGCTAACGTCTACGGTCCCTCCTGATGGCGGCCCACAGGGTCTCCATCTCGCCGTCCCGGCTGCGGGTATCCATCGATCTTCAGGAGAGATGGAGAGATCCCGTGATGGCGTTTCCGGCGGCTAATCGCTCCGTCGCAGGCGCGATTTCCTGTGCGGCGGATTCGGAGAGGGGAATAGTCGGGGAAGACCGTCAGACGGCTCGCCGGCTTGGCGTGCTGTACCGGAGCCAGGTCTTAGGGAGCGCAGCGACGTCGTGATCTCGACGTTGGAGCTCGTTGGCAGCTTAAGCGGCTTCGATTCCAGAAACTGTATGTGGATGGAGTCGATGAACAATTGTGTCGATGTTCTTGTTGCGCAGGGAACGTCGCACCCTGGTTTTTGGTCCTCACTGGTTCTTTTGCGAATGCGAGAACCTAGTTTCCGGTTCCCGTTGGCTTTCCACAAACATCAGGCCCTGGCTCCCTGGTTCCATTAATTTTATTTCACAAATACCAGACGTTCGTTTATGACTTCCACTGGTTCATCCGCAAAGACCAGACCCTGGGTCATGGTTCCCACTGGCTCCTCACACACACAGCAAAGTTGGTTTTGTGGTTCCTATTGGCTTACTCAGGAAACACCAGATCCCATGTTTTGCATCCCGTTGACTCATTTATTAACATTGCCACCCGGCTTCCATCCCAGTCGGCTTTTGACCTTTAAGACTTTTCGTCAATTGATTCCCGTCCGTTTTGGCCTTTACTGCTGTCGGCTTTTTGTCTGATTAGTTTTCCAATTGGACTTATCCCTCGAACTTTTTCCTCTCGGTTTTTTGTCCTTGAGCTCTTTTCCGATTCGACTTTTTGTACCGCAATTCGACTTATTCCGATTTAACTTCAATCCCTTCTGGCTTTTTGTCGCGCGAATCGGTATGTGTCTTATTATTTTTATCCCTGTTAACTTTTCGCCTTTGATTTTTCCCGATTTGGCTTTCAACCTTGTTGGTTGATCCTTGTTGAACTTCACGGTCAAATTTTTTATTCAACATTTTGTCCGGACACCGGCTACGTCTGTGAAAATAAATGCTGAATTACATTGACAGCACGCGTCAACTGTTCGCAATCAGCTCATACTCCGCGGGCAATAAGGTACAAACGCCCTGGGGCGGCCGGGCTGGAACGCTGCCAAGTACAGACACGGTGGGGTACCGACTGTTCTACCGAGGAAGTTTTGCATGTCTTGATTGGAAGTTGGAAAATTCCCTGCGTCGTGCTGGAAAACATTGACCCGGTGCGTCGTAGGGCCTTGTTTCCTAGGCCGGAAGGTGATTAATTTGTACAAGCTAATGGAACATTCTTTATTTTGGTGCCAGTTTCATCGAATCGATAAAACATATTAGAAAAAGCACGCCGTCAAGCGTTAATGCTGCCACGAAACGCCGTTCGGGCTGAGTTCTAGTGACTTGAAGGAAATGTTCCGCATTTGTAGATATTGAAGCAAGTATCACCTGCGATAAAGTAAGCTCACATAACTGTTGGTGCACTTGGGGAAAAGACTCGAGTCTTATTTCCGTAATCACCAGGAAGAGCGTGCAACGTTTTGTATTAAGTAGCGCACAACTTCATATGTGTTATCTTGCAGAGCTTACGCAACATTGGTTGAGAGACAATGGACGCCTGTTATATCTAGAAGTCATGGTTACGAACGCCAGATATGAACGACCCGACAACTATATTGACCTTGATCGCCGCATGACCAGTGCAATGGCGGAATTTGAATGACGTTAGAAAGGGTCATGGATGTCTGGGTAACCTTGAAATTTTCTGCACGAAATAGTCTGCGTGTCTTCGTGGGCTTGCAGCTCAGAAATTGGAGGGTTTTAGATCTTAAAGGGAATGTCCGATATTTGCAGATTTTTAAGCAAGCATCAGGTATGATCAAATAACATCACTGCTCTAATTCCCAATACGTCATTATTCAATACGTCATCTTATGTATACGATTGATACCATCTCACCTGTACCATTGATTGAGAGATAATTGACGGCCGTTGTTTTTGCAAATTGTGCTCGCGAACGCTAGATATGAACGACTCAACAACTACATTCCTCTTGGCCTCGGATCACCGCATGGCCAATGCAATGACGGGACATGAATGACGTTATTGTGCGTCATGGAAGCCTGGGTGATCTTGAAATAGTTCCCGAAAAGTCTGCACATCTTCGTGGTCGTGTAGCTCAGAAACTAAAATAGTTAAGGTGTTAAGAAGGGCTGAGCTGTGAACCGCACGAAATGATCTCCAAGATGGCCCTTTCAGTTAAAAACCCCATACAGCTGCGGAGCATTCCCTGAAGTGAGTGTACGGAAGTGAACTGCACCGAATGGTCTCCAAGACGGCTACCTCAGTTCAGGAGCTCATACAAATGTGGAACGCTTTAAAGTACTCGCTATTGGCCCCTGACGGAGATGGTCTGCGGCTAGTGGCATCGCCGGCACTGAAGGTCAGATGGTGACGTTAGATGGTACGACGGACTGTGTCGAGCTTCGCGGCACAGCAAACTCTCGCACAAAATCCTGCCGCTGACCTGGGATTTCCCAATCGGATGGCAGGGCCGGAGCTGCGCTGAGCTGAGCTGGACTGGGCTGGGTGAGCGCGGGATCTGTTTCCAGAAATCCACCCAATCAAAAGGTTTGGACTGCATCCTTAAATAAGGAATAAAATAAGGACGGGTACGGCTAAGCCGGGCTGGGCCAGCGTTGGCTCCGTTCCCAGGAATCTGTGCGCTGGAAAAGTTCGATGGAATATCTGATCAACAGGCTCGGGCTAAAGGCAAACATGGACCGTGACACTGTGCAGTCAGTTGATTACAGACCTTGATGTTGCACTGCCTCGGGTAGTTTTTCATCCGTGGACTTCGGTACAGCCTATTTTTTATTGTTACTCGTCTTAGTAATGGATATAAGCCTTCTTGGAATTCACGAACTCGGAGCCGTTGGTGCCCCCACAGACCTTCTCAACGAACGCCCGGATAGGGGTCAAATTGATCCTCCAAAGGTTATTCCGGAATAGTTTCCGAACGATGCGGCGCAGCTTCGTCAAATTTGCATAGCACTAAACAAATGAATAGCGGATCGCTTGGTATCAAAACTTTGATTTACTTTCTAAGCTCGCTTACCTACGGCAGGTCAAAGTCAGGCCATGGATTCAGCGAAGTCAATTTGTGGGAAATCGCTCAATCTGATCTACAGCGGAGTGTTAAACGAAGCCATACATCTCTGAAATACTTGCTTAGGCAATACAATAATTGAATGAATTAATTCCATTGACCTAGGGTCAGGTATGAAGGTCAGATTACGGGCAAGACCAACCAGTCTTTAGTGCTCTAGGGCCTGCTGTATGCGGTAGTTTCTGTTGCTCATTTCGAATCTATTGATAACAGGAACCGCATTGCAGATATTTCATGAACTTCTTAAGCGTCAAAATAGGTCACTGCCCCGAAATGATTCAGATCAACGTTTTGTTTTAGGGGCATACTGACTAGCGTAATCTTTGTCGCTTACTCAATTGCAAAACTTAAAAGCAGTCTTGTATTATTTTGGTTACCATGACCTTTAAAAGCTCAAACAAGGCCACTGATCCTGAATGAGCACGTGACTTTGTGCTGAGATCAGGTATCTAGGTTCTGGGAACACTTTGGAGACTAACCTGGAGTGTGACCTTATTTAACCTTATTTGACCTGAACGTCATGGCCTAAGAACTTCAAACTGTGACCTAAATGAGTTCACGTAAAGGACAGCACACCCTGTACATTTGGTGTCTCTAGCTCTGTTGTTTCCTGAGATCTCAGGGGGTCAGATTGACCCCATCACCTGAGCGAAGGGTGTCTAACCGGCCACCCGGGCGCGTGTTAATCTTCCTGCAAGCAAAGGAGCCGCGCTTGAGAACTGTAATAAGTTGGGAGAGCCGTTATGCAATTGCAAAGGCAGTGGAAGGGTTTTATGCCCAAACCCCGAGTTTGAACGTCGACTTTCAGATACCTGCTGCTGATTCCAATAGGCCTGCAAATAGTGCAGTAATCGGGCTTTTACTGCATTGTCTTATTAAAAGCTTGCACTGTTTATCGAAACACGTCATTTCATCTCTGCTCCCCGTGGTTTCGCTGTATCCTCGCTCTGGTAAGACCGTCGCTGCCCCACCCTCCCAATTATAAAAAATTAGCTCAATGCTTCACCTAACACTTGGCAGTGTGGGAGGCGTCGTTCCCGTGTAGCACCGGGCGGTGACCACCTCCCGAAGGAGTGTTAGGCCATCGTCCGGAACTAGCACAGTATACGTCCATCTCTTGGGTTCGGAGGCGAGTGGAGGGCCTCGGTGCCGAAATCAACAGCAGCACTGCGTGGTTTGTTCCAACCAAAACCCTCCCGCCCCCGGAACGGGACGGACTGCGACGAACTTCGGGCGCAGCGAGGGGCCAGCTCCACTTACCCCAGGCGTTTTTGGTTCCCGGAGGGATTTAGGGGCCTGGCATCGCTTTCGCCGTTCGAGCATCCAAACGGGTGCGAAAGGCTCGGGGATAGCTACCCGCTGCGATAAGCTGAGATATCGCGCGATTGAGGTGGAGTTCACCAACGGTGTTTCAAGCGTTGTACAACGGTGTCTCTTTCTAAGCTCATGGCAAGGATGGTAATCGTCCGACTTACCTGGTTTCTGGAGAAACACGATATTTTTAATAGCTCGCAGTATGGCTAAAGAAAAATCGGGGTACATTAGATCGCCTTTTAGCTCGCGACGCCACGATTCGTGAGACTTTCAAAGAGAAGAGACAATGGAGATAGTCTTTTTTGACATGGGTGGCGGCTATAACATAACTTGGCACCATGGTATTCTTCTCGAGCTTTTTGAATATGGCATGCGTGGCTGTATGACTACTCCTCTTCAAAGGTTTTTAGCTACCCGATGTATCCGTGTCTGCGTCGGCAACGTCGTCTGATGCGCACTAATAAGCAAACGGTGTACCTAGCGGCGACGTGCTAAGCGTTGCGCTGTTCGCGGTGGTGATTAACGATATTGTGATGTGCTTCCCCAGTCTGTCGGACGTGTCCTTTTTGTTGGCGGTTTTACCATTTGAACCGATGCAGCGAGCGCAACATCTAGAGAACGACGTCTCCAGCTGGCCGTGCTCCGTGTAGAAAGATTAAGTAGCATGGAAGGGTTTTGTTTTTTAGGTGACAAGACCGTCGCAATAATTTTTGTCGCTGCCAGCAAGTCGGCGACGTGAGCATCCGTCGATATGGCGGTGTATTCCAACTGCCAACTGAGACCGTGGCCAGGCGCCTATACGTTAACCACCGGATTTCACACCACGCACATCTCAAAATGTTACGCGATCGCTGCGTCAAATCTCTTAACATTCTAAAGTGCGTGTCCTGCACATCGTATGGGACGTACAGAAGCACGCTCATGCTAATATATCATTCACACGTCCGCTCCACGCTGGATTATGCATGCTTTGTGTATGATAGCGTGTCTGCATCCAGCAAGAATTGTCTTGACACCGTGCATCATACCGCTTCTCGTACTGTTACTGGAGAGTTCGGCACACCACCCGCTGGTAGTCTTATGGTAGAGACATGTGCCGCCACTGTCGGCGAAGATGCAAATTATCGACATGCGTTATGCCAGTAAAGGGAGTGGACCACATGTATATGGGGTTTTGAACTGAAATAAACATCGTGAAGACGTTTCGGTACTGCTCACGATCCTGCCCTTCCTAAGATCTAAGCCCCTAAAGTTTTTTAGCTACACGCCTGCGAAAATGGGTAAAGATAATTTGGTGAGAGTATTTCAAAGTCACCTTGGCATTCATGACGTCATAATAAAGTTAATGAAACCCTGTCACTCCATATGCCATGCGACGATCAAGGTCAAGGAAAATATAATTGTCGAGTCGTTCATATCTGGTGTTCATAGGCGCGATTTCCAGACATAACGGCCGTCAGTTGGCTCTCAATCAGTGTTGTGCGAGGTACGACGACGTAATCAAACCTTGACGCATCGATAAACATATTTACTAAACCGAATTGTGGTGTCTTGAACAGCTTTTTCCTCTTAAAAAGGTTATCAATAGATAGAAGTGAGTTTGTATTATGTACACACACACGCACGCACGCACGCACGCACGCACGCACGCACGCACGCACGCACGCACGCACGCACGCACGCACGCACGCGCGCGCGCACACGCACACACACACACACACACACACACACACACACACACACACACACACACACACACACACACACACACACACACACACACACACACACACACACACACACACACACACACACACACACACACACACACACACACACACACTCTTCTTCACACTCTTCACTCTTCAAGATGTGAAGCAAGCATGCCATCTGGCCTCTTCTTGGCAGGCAGTCAGGCAAGATGCTGTTAACATCCGGCTCTGCCCGTCCTTTGTGTAGTAATCCCGGGCGACTCGCTCGTGCAGCGGTGACGCGACATTCTCCCTCTGTGCAGTGATCCAGGGCGGCTCGCTCGTGCAGCAGTGACAAGACATTCTCCCTCCGTGCAGTGATCCCGGGAGGCTCGCATGTGCAGCAGTGGCGCGGCATTCTCCCTCTGTGTAGTAATCCCGGGCGACTCGCTCGTGCAGCAGTGGCGCGGCATTCTCCCTCTGTGTAGTAATCCCGGGCGATTCGCCCGTGCAGCAGTGACGCGACATTCCATCTCTGCGCAGTGATCCCGGGCGGCTCGCTCGTGCAGCAGTGACGTGACATTCCCCCTCTGTGCAGTGATCCCGGGCGGCTCGCTCGTGCAGCAGTGGCGCGGCATTCTCCCTCTGTGTAGTAATCCCGGGCGATTCGCCCGTGCAGCAGTGACGCGATATTCTCCCTCCGTGCAGTGATCCCGGGCGGCTCGCTGGCCGTGCAGGAGGACGGCACGTACACGCTGGACCCGCTGGCAGAGGTCGGCTACCAGGGCGCGACGCTGGTCATCGGCGGCCAGCTGTACACGGCACTGCCGCAGCCGCTGCCGCAGCACCTTCTGGTGCACGGCATGGCGCCCGGCGGCGGACAGCTTCTGCTGGAGCGGCCGACGCAGCCGCTGCTGCACCACCCCGCTGTCACGCTTCAGGCTGATGGTGCGAACGTCAAGGCCGTGCGCGCCGTGGGATGGTCACTGCATGTCCGAGAGTGTCTGTATGATGTGGACCCTTATTTTCACAAAGCTGTATTTCAGTGATTACTTGCTGTTTGAAAAGGTGGGCGCTGCCTGATGCCAGAGGTCGTTAAGCCTTAGAGCTCCGACATTAACTAGCTTTGCGTTCCCACGGATATCTTGGTTTCGTGGTCTGTATTAGTGATGCCAGCTTATGTTAATGTGATTTGTGTACGGTCGGTTGGAGCATGTCCTTGTTAATCTCTGACTGTCCTCAAAGACCCGCTGGATTCAGTTGACGATATTTTAACGTTTGCCACCAGAGCCCGGTGTGGCGCTAGTATCGGCGCCGTCGTTACCTGACTCGGAGTACGCGGACGAGACTCTGCGGGAATCGCGACTGTCTCAGCAGAGTCACACATCTGTCATCCGGGGAGGTCAGTGGCGGGTCTCAGACTGTGGTGTGCGTCTCGCACGTGGACCTGCACGTACACATCATTTCACAGGCCCAGCTGCTGCCAGACGCCGCTCGACGTCGCATGGACGGCTGCTAAGCTGTGCGAGCACCGCTGTTGACCTTTGTAGTTGCTGAGCCTTTGTAGCCTGACCAGCAGCAGCGCGCGCCGCCGAACATCTGTCAATCCGTTAAGACAATGTGATGGCATCGACATTGCCATTATCGTTGCTATAACAGCTCAGACATCCGTGTGGCCTTCGGCTCTGGGGTTGTTACGTCCCGTCAGAGGAATATACGTGCGGGTAGGCGTGTAAGGCTCATGAGCCTATGTCAAAGGATATGCTGGTGCTGAGCTGTTGTGATATCGTGGATGATAAGGATCGGATGAAAAGTTCGCAACACAGTAAGAAACAATATGAACTAGAACATTCAAGGTGTGCATATGCGTTGTTTGGTGCTGATACCATCGGAAATGACAATTTAATCGCATTTCAAAGATGTACAGGACAGCCCGGTGATAAGAATCGGAGTTTTCAGTAAGAATCGGTTTGTCAAGTGTCGTGCAAAAGTCTGCGGATGTGTCTCAGTTTCTGTTTCTCGTCACTCATTTAGCTAGGCGCACGCTGCCCGAGTTAAGTTCAGGTGTACCACGACATTAAAATCTTTGTTGTTTTTGCTAGGCTGTCTCAGCTATCAACACCGTGATGTGAGAAGCTTTGGAAATGTTTATAGGAAAAAAAGCGTTTCCACGAATTTTAGCTGCACATTTAGATTGCTTGCTCATGTAATTGCGTTTGTATAGTTCGTTTGTGGAATATTCGAAATCATAGTGTCAAGCTCATTTTTAGTTATTACAATGCCTTGTTTGTTACAAAGTTAAAGTGAGAACATGTCCATGCGTACATCAAACCGGGGAGAACGTAGTGCAGGAACATTTCAGATCTGTCACTGCTTACTGTGACCGGGAACCGCCCATGATTTTCAGCGAAAGTTTAGTAGTTATACAACATAACGATGGAAGCCCAGTAGTGTCAAGCCCCTTTCTGGAGGCGGCGGTATTTCGTTACAGTAATGACGTAAGGTTTGCTATGTTGTGAGCAAGCGCCCTCAGCTGGATTTGCTCTTTTTACGTCTTCCTCATGCTTTGAGGGTTATACGAAATTTGTATCACGTCACGCGCTAAAAAATGCAATCGACAGGGTTTTAATAAGAACTCGCTTCCATTCAAGCTATTGAAAACCGACAGAGTTTGCGTGCTGATGCTCATACAGAAAAGTACTAGATAAAAACCGAAGTAGCTCTGATACCGCGTGATCGGTTCTGGCTAATACAATTGCAAAACAGAACAACTTTTCCGACCGTGTAGTGAAATAGCTCACTACCTTTACACCATATAAACTAATATGGCTTCAATTGATTGGAAAGTCTTGTGCATGCATGGGAACCATTCCCGTCGCTCCATGCTCTAACCATTCCCGTCCCTCCGTGCTCACGAAAGCGGAAGAGTGGGTCTTATGGAGCTTCTCGCAAATAATGCGTATGTGATTTACGTTCAGCCCGACTTGTGATTGCGAAGGTTTCAAACGTCAGGTAACCTTAGAAACTGCCTGGAGACGCAGCACAAGCTTTTGCTCAGTGTTGCGCGAAGCATTTTTCACAACAAATGTCCAGAACTGTCGCAAATTATTCGTTTTCCGGGGAAGTAGTCCTCCACTTCATTGACGCGGGCCATCTACCGCGCTTTGCGAAATACACATATTCAGCACCCCCCGACCATTCCGATTCTGCTTCCAGCCGCTTTGAGTGCCAGCAGCGTCTGCTGATCGTCCGTTCTTTCCCAGATGACCACCGGACTACGTGCCCGCTAGCTGTCAGAAAGGCCATTGATAACGTGCCGTTCACCAACAGCGCGTGGCGTCGCAGCTCGCCGTCACCCTTGCGGCTATCATCCGCGCGCTCAAGTCGGGCCCGCGCCGTGAGGGTGTGCCGCGGGATGTGTGCTGGCGGCTGACCGGCGGCCCGTGTGTCGCCAGATCCCATCATGTCCCGGACGGCCCCGGGTGCCACCTCCGAGGAGGACGAGAGCCTGGACTGCCCACAGTGAGGCGCCACCGTCGCGTCGTGCCAGACGCGGGCGCACCAGAGGACGACCGACCGGGCTGTGTGCCACCGCTTTGGGATGCGCGACTCTGGCGCTGTATTTGATGATGCATGCACCTGTCAATACACGTTTTATGTGTACGCTAACGCCGTCAGTTGAATGCCAGTGGGTGAAGTGATGTGCTCAAGATAGCAACGCTCAATTATGTAAGCTGTCAGTTGCCATTGTCGGAGGTCGAACCACTCTATTCTTGATCGACTGCCTTTTGCTGATCTAATTTTATGTTGGCCTGTGAAGTCACACGGCATAGCGCGTCTAGCAGCTACAAAGGTTCACTGTACGTGTCTGATGCAAAATTGTGCGGCACTTACAAAAGCCCTGGCGCTCCACCATTCCTGCTAACGCGAGATGCGTTGCGTCCGTGTCTCCGTCTGCGTGCTCAAGGACAGCGTGGGTTGGTAATGGATCTTGAGAACGGAGCGCGGTTGGTTGTCGGTCCCGAACCGACGATCTTCAACAACTGTGCACAAGCACGAGCGTCTGTATTACGACCTTTCGGCCATGACACCGACGATGCCAGAACCACGGAGCGAAAACGCCGACCGCCGACTGATTCACTGTGGCACGGCTCGCCGTGACTCGCCATATCTGTGCGAGCATGCGTCCGCGGCGTGCTCGGTTGACGACAGGACTCTCAACCGGCGGTTTGCGGCGTGCGGCGCTCCCATGTCAAGGTGATGATTGCCAGTGTACGGGCCGCCGAGGACGGCGGGCGGGCGGTGAACTGCACGGTCACCGCCGGCGGCGCGGTGGCCCCTCGACTGGGAGTGGTGACGGATGTTTGAGGGACGTCGGATGCCAGAGGGGCGTCGTTGTTGGTCCACCACGTCAGCGGGGCTCGGCCCTCCTACGCGGTCGCCTCGGCCGGCTAGAGCAAACGCGACAGCCGCTCTCGGCTGCCAGGCCGGTGGACCGAGGGTGACGCAGGGCGGCTTTATGTCGAAGAGCGACAGCAGCCCGAACCAGGAGAGGTAACGGCAGCCATCTTGAATGACACAGCCGCACCCAGACCCGTCTTCACTTTATCATGAATGTGTATTCTGCTTGCATGACTGAAATTGCCCGTTTGTGGATTTCAGCCAAAGCCAGTTGATAAAGCAGGTATCAAACCAAATTTGCACTTAATGAAGCAAGTCTTTCCACTGCTGTGAATTAACTTTTGTTTCGGCACCTTCTCCCGCGGAAAGCCGAAAACTGTCACCGGCAACAGTTCTCGGTGCGATCATCGATTCGTGACCCATAACGATAAGCTCTATAGTTCAGTGAAGGGCAATGGCATGGCACGGCGCCGCGGTACATGTATCGCGTGTGTATTATCCGCCCCACCCTCACCTGGATATCCGTCAAGCTATGCCTGCCCAGGTCGTGAACCAGTGCACCGGGAAGAAGACGAGCAGCGGAACTAGCTGCATTGCCTAATCATGCAATGTAACCCATTTGCCCGAATGTTTGTCCCGCATAATGAGCCTGCTAAAGGATGGGCCGTCACGGCAGTGCAACGGTATTCCAGGCCTTCCACCTTGCCCACACATTAGGATTATATATATATATATATATATATATATATATATATATATATATGTATATATAAGGCGCTTATAAGGCACAGTGGGGGCGCTTGGATTATCGTTGAAGCGTCAGTGTTTTGACTACTCACGGTTCATATGCATCCGCACGTATTCAATGCGCGTTGTATGCGCATCTTTTCTAAATAACTATATGAAGACCGTGCGTCTGCCCGCGTGACGTCGTTTTGCATTGAAGCATGTGCAGGTCGAACGGCGCGACGTTTGAGAGTGTAAATTTGACACGGTGCACGTTCGCACGTGACGACGTGGCATGGCGAGTTCCGTGCCGGTGCGGTCAACGGGCGGCGCGTGGCGCGTGCTGCAAATCGCTTTTTTAGCGGACTGGTTTTGCTTGGGCGGCCCGAAAAAGTGACCGGCGCCGAAACCGGAGAGTGGTCGTTGGAAACCGTGGGCCACTGGGTAACCAAGTGGGCCCCGGAATATAGGGCCCCAACTGAAGCGCATGGAGCCTTTCGGGCAAATGGGACGAATACTGACCCTGACCGATCAAGAGTGCCCAGGAATGTTAGCAGATAGTGTCCCAACAGCAGCTACGACAAAATGCTGCAGAGCAGGGGCAGCATAGGAGACTCCAGAGCGATCGGACCTTAGAACAGGTATCTAGGCTCACGGCGGGTGCATGTCGTAGTCTGGAGCCGTTTTGGGCATCAATCTGGAGTTAACCTTGTTTAACCTTATTTGGCCCAAAAGTCATGATCTATGGAGCTGGTCCGGCAATGATCATCAAAGCAACACAAGGCGTTTCGAACGCGCCTGACGTGAGTGTTCCATTGCAATCTGAAGCTCGCCGACCGGCTATCCGCCGGGGGTTTCCGTGGAAGCATCCAACAGTAGCGCACATCAACTCACACTCTTGAAGCCCGAAGCCATGCACGCCCAACATCGTATAAAGCCACACAAAATCGATTGTACGTCGATAACCGAGACCTGGCTTTGTCTATCCGGGCCCAACAAAATTATAATGATGTTGGACGACGATGTCTCACCTAGACAAAGTGAGGAGGCGTACTGTAACTTCCTATGTTGCTGGGGGATAATCCAGCTTGCTTCACTTTGAGAGGAAGATAGGTGAAATTTGGATAGAAAAATGCTTTTAGTGCGTTTGAGGGGCAGGGTTAGCTATTTCCCTGCCCAGCGCCCCAAACCTAGTTCGCGGAACTACACCTTTTGGTGGACGCCGAATGACAGTGACACGTGACGGATGCGCCACCATAGTGCTTCACTTCCCACCCACAGCATCGCTCCAAAGTCACCCAACCCTTAGCACCGCCCCGAAGTCACGCAAGCATGGTTTCAGCGAAGGCAATTTCTAGGGAATCATTTAATCTGATTCAACAACGGAGTGTTAGACGAAGCCATACATCTCTGAGATACTTTCTGAGGCAACACAACAGCTGAATGACCAAATTACATTGACCTAAAGTCAGGTATAAAGGTCACACCAAGATCAAAACCAACCTATTTTGTTACTCTGGGGCTTGCCGTATGGGATAATTTCGGGTGCTCGTTTCGAAGTTGTTAATAGCAGGAACTGCATTATACATCTTCCATGGACTTCTTAGAGGTCAGAATAGGTCATTGACCTAAAATGACCCAGGTCAACGTTTTGTTTTTAGGAACATACTGCCTAGCGTAATCTTTATCGCTTAGTCAAATGCAAAACTCAGAGCAGTCTTGCATGATTTTGGTCATCTTGACCTTCAAAAGGTCAAACAAGGTCAATGACCTTGAACGAGTGTGTGACCTTTGGTTAGAAACGGTTATCCAGGTTCTGGGGACACTTTGGAGATCAACCTGGAATTTGACCTTGTTAGACCTTTTTTGACCCGACGGTCATGACCTAGGAACCTAAAACTTTAACCTAAGTAAGTTCACGTACAGGTCAATTCACCCTGTAAGTTTGGTGTCCCTAGCTTTCTTAGTTCCCAAGATCTCAGGGGGGTCAGATTACCCCCTCCCCCACCCGAGCGAAGGGTATCTAGCCGGCCACGCGGGCGCGTGTTAAGGGCCGATTTGAGCGCCTGAAGAGCCCGAAAGGCCGGCCGGAGATTGTGTTCAGGCGCCCGGCCCGAAGGGCCGGGCACCCTAATGCCAGCCGGAGGGTCTTGTGCGCTGATCAGGGCCCCTTGAGCCGATAATGGCCTATATAATGGTCAGACCACAGGCAACGCACAGTCGGCTCCGTGGCGGCATGGGCTTGAGGTCCCATTTCCCAGGCAGGAGCGATGCCGGAGCCAGCGATTTTCATTGGTCGGGACTGCAGCGTCTGTCAGCGCCCCACAGCGTCTGACAGGGGTCTTGTTTTGGCAAAGGGCCCCGAGTCGGCCAGAGACAGTGTTCGAGGAGGCCCGGAGAGCCTAGAGGAGGCAACGAGTCCGACGACCAAGGGATCCATTGTAGGATTTGAAGGTACGAATGGCTGGTAGTTGTCTTATTCAAAGGCCCCGGCCTACGGGGACGAGCCCTTAATTAACAGCCAGAGGGCTACTGGCGCCGATCGGAGACCCCTGAGTCGATATGGGCCTACGTGCCGGCCAGGCACCACCAGTATCCAGCGTTTCTAGCGTGTGTAGCGGACAGCGTGCCCTTGCGACAGCGCCGCAGTTAGCCGCCGACACTAAAACCCAGTGTACACAGGCGACTTTGCAGGCGATTTTGCTGCCTCGTCGGCAGCTGCGGTCGTCAGCGCAGTAGCGACCACCTCACTCGCCGATCGGTGGCGTTGTGCTATACCGGATGACGTAAGAGAGCATTTGTCCAATCAGAGAGTGTGCTGGTGTTGCCGACCCTGTCGCCGTAGCGACCGACCGAAAGTTCGATTGATCCAACAAAACGCCGCATGGGCGGCGTATCCCCATGCCTGCGCCAGTACCGCAGGCAGGGGGGGGGGGGGGCACCGGCACGTGCTCTCCGTCAGATTCCGAGGAGCCCAGAGAACTGTTCGGGTCTCACGATTACATGCCCAGTTCGAGCGCCCAAAGGGCCCGAAAGGGGGTCAAATCGAACCACAGGTGGACGTTCAGGCGGGTGGGCTGCCTCTCCTTCGTTGCTCCAGCGTCGTTTTTTCACTCAAGGTATTTTTGAGGATCAAGATCCTATTCAAATGCCTCAAGAGCCTATTGCCTATTGCCTATTGCCTCAAATGCCTATTTACGCCTTAGAAGTCCTGCGGAACAACCTTCATGCGTGTTGTACTGCCAAAAAGATGCTGAACTTTCTGCCATCACAGGGCTTAAGCCACTTCCAGCGAACATGGCTCCAGGAGCTCCCCCTGATTGCCCCACTGCCTCTGGCCGGGGTCACTCAGCCAAACGTTTCCCTAGTCCTGATTTTTTTGGGATGAACCACGGAGGCACGCGTTAAGAGCGGGATGATTGCACAGTAGCCCAAGTCTAACAACGCCAGCTTTTCATTTCTCCCAAGCTAATGTTTATCTCATGGAAACATCTTTTGAGCAACATTCACATTCGCCCCCACACCACCACCCCATCGTCGGCCGCATCCCCCCCTCCCCCTCCTCGCTCTTTCCGTCCTCTCCCTGGCCGCCCGGCGCCGCGACAAACCGTTGCTGTGGTAACCGGACGTCAGCGGCTGATGTGTGACGCAGCCAGCCAAACGTGTGACGTCAGCAACCGCGGCAGCACGCTGGGCGGCTGTCGGTGCGCCGCCGGCCGCCGCGGCGACGCGGAAAGCCCCTTGTGTGCAGTGGGCTTTACTTGAAGTGCTCGTACGCGCCGCAAGGTGGCAATCTTGATCCGCGGTGCGATCGACATGGTAACTTGCGTGGTGAGCGCGTATGTGTATCTTTTTGTGCTGTATGTGCTATTCCATGTGTGGCTGCATGGTGTCCTCTTCCGTTGACATTTTCATTTACATCGTTTTTCAAGATATTCATCTCCAAACTCATTTCTAGAATGCACGCCACACGTCTCATGTTATTTAAAACGAACCGCGCTCACACTGAAAGAATGACATTTGCAAACGTGCAAACAACGTTAAGGTAGTGACGGATGTAAAAGCTGCGCGCGATTATCTTGTGGCTTGAAGCGAGTGGGTGCTACTGTTGTGTCCTCCTGTCGAGGAGTCCTTCCTCATCAGTGCCCAGCGCTGCACATTTCGCACCCGCTGCGGACATACGCTTGTCAGTACCAGTTTGCCGATGCCTGCCCGCTGCTGCACTTTGAGGAGACATAAGTGCAAGAAGGATGACAACGACAGGGGTTCGAACCTCGGCCTTCTACGTTGACACGCCCTTGGACATAGATGACGCAAATGTCGCCGGCCCCGCAAGCCACGGAGACGGCGGCTTGACAGCAACCGTCACGGTTCCACGCCCCATGGTTCGCTCGTCTTTCGTTCGTCTTTTGACTTCACTTCTTTAACCACTCAAGTGCATAGGCGGATCCTGGGGGAGGGGGGGGGGGCACGGGGCCATGCCCCCCCAAACCTCTGAGAGTATGTTTTGCCCCCCCCCAAAAAAAATAAACATTCCCAGAACTTCATGGAAGTTTTGTCCACTTACCGTCTGTTTTAACTTTAACTTTTTAACTGTTTTGTTTTAACTTCTGTTTAAGATTCAAGAGTATTTCGGTGCTTTTTTCGGTTTTGAATGATGTCCCTACTAGGTACTCGCGAGAGGCACCATGCACTGGACCTCGGATCCCGCACCAGCCAGTTGGCGACGAACGGTTGCCCCCCCCCCCCCCTCCCCCAAAAAGCTCCAGGCTAGATCCGCCCCTGTTCAAGCGCATGCTTGTCCTGATGCTAACCCACGCCCGACAGTGACCAGTGTCCGCCTGACTTCTGGGCCAATTCTGTATCCTCTCGACTTGTTCGTTGTCGGGCCCTGCGATGAGAAGGTGACATTTCGAAAAATCAACGTTTTCTGGCCATCAGAGCAAATTATTGCTATCTGCGGCTCATGCGATCTAAAAATTAAATCATCGGCAAACAGATCACTTCTAATTAAAACAACCACCCGTCCAAAGACCAGGGCTCTTCTTAAAACAACGGAGTTCTGTGGCAAGCATGTAAAGGTGTCCCTTCACCATGCTTGAAACAGCACCAAAGGCACCATCTTTGCACCTGAGCTCCGTTTCATGACGGAAGAGGAGATCCTGGCGGAGCCTGGGGCGAAAATGTTTGCCATGTCCGACGGCTGACGACTTCCAAAGATGGCCAGCGTCGCGACGCCAGCCTATTTGTTCTCACCTTCACTACCACCCGACTTCTGGAGACGCTCACAGCCGGTTACCTCCGCCATGAAGTCACAGTATATGTATATATATTTTTATATATATATATATATATATATATATATATATCGAATCCACTCAGATATTTCAAATGTTAACGGTTCGGACACGGCAGCAAGTACTGCAAGCAGAGCACCAAATACCTTAAGTGCGGCGAAACTCCTCACGAAACGCCTACACATCGCCGCAGCAATGTCTCAGCCATGGGAGCTCTGATCACAGCGCCAACTCCTCCCAGTGTCCCACATGGAAAAAATAAATTTGCTTTGAAATAGCCGAGACAGGTGTGCCGTATCCCGAGACACGGCGCACTGTCGCGGCAAAAACGCTCCCACAGTTTAGCAAAATATGTGCACTCAACTATCCATGCACTGCACTTTATCGGTTCATTGAAAAAGCACGGCTTCGAGTATCAACCATACAGCACATACGCACGATGTCCCTCGACGAAAGCTTACTATGAGTATCTATCGATCAACACAGTGATATTCTTTGCCTACAAGCCCCTCCAAAATAGGATGCTGCATAGATGATGATATATATATATATATATATATATATATATATATATATATATATATATATATATATATGTTAATAAGAGTGGCTATATGCGGAACACTCGATTTGCACAATCGTATACCACAGGAAAACGTTCGGAGTGTGCTTGCACTCCCGGTCTTTCTGCCGGAGATACCCACTCGCTGCTTTGGGAGCAGATCTCTAATCACGGGAGACAGTTGCATTTGTTTTCCTAGCCTTAGGCATATTTTTTCTCTCCGGTCAGCGAGGGTTTCCATGCATTGCAAACGTTGCGAGATGTGCGGGTACTTTTCCGCACGGCCAAAGATGATTTTTGAGGCACTTTTTTGCACCTTCTTAAGATGTTGCGCCTGCTTGGCAGCGAATCCCGCGTGAAAAACCGGTGCACAATATTCTAGCAGTGGTCGGATGTAAGTAACATACACCCGAACAAGCTCCTCCTGTGGTAAATGGTACTTCTATCTTATGCAGAGCATATGTAGAGCTTTCGATGCTTTGGTTACAATCTCTTTCACACGTGCTTGCCAAAACATGCCATTTTATATTGCTACACCTAAGAGCTTATTTTTCGTGGCAGCTGGCAGGCTTTTTCCTTGAATCACGATGTCCGGTAGTGGTGATGGTTTCTTGGCTGTGAAAAAATGCATGACTTGCCACTTGGCGTTTTGTGTCATCTTGTTTGCTGTTACCCAATCACAATGTCACTTTGCTCTTGCAACTGGCAGTGCTGATCTTCTTGATTATTTCGACACTCCAGGTATATGGTAAGATCATTTACATACTTCAGTTGATTTTCAATATCAGCGGTGGTGCCGTCAACCATAACCAGGAAAGCAACTGGGCCAACTAGGGTGCCTTGTGGAGTGCCGCATGTCATCGTTCTCCAACGACGCTTGGCTTTATCTGACATCTTCACCCGACATAGCCACTTCGCATACCCGGAGCTAAGTCCCATTGCAAGGCGCACTCAGCTGCTGAGGCTATATCGCATCGCCTGCCTCTCAGCCTGGCAGGCAGAGCGGGCACCGCGGGGAATCGAACCCCGTACCTTCGGTTTCCCAGCCGCGCAATAGTGCACGCAGACACGTAGATCACTGTGCCATCGACACCCTGATTCAGGTGACTCAGCCAGAGCATACGGTGACATCACGGGGAACGGTACGGACGCGCTGGGGCGCTCCCTCAGAGGGCCGGGCGCCAGAATCGCCGGGCCCACGTCACCCAACTGCGGAGAGGTCAGCACTGCAGCGCCGCGAGTGACTCGCGGTGCCGCCAACTCGCTGGAGCTGAACCGCTAGCTAATCCGCACGTCCTGCGGTCGGTCTCGCCCGACCTGCAACGCGGCAAGGTCATTTAGAAAGTGTGGGCGTCCACACACGGGCGCCACTAGCGCCGCCCGGCGGCCCCGACGACAGTAGCTCGGCGGCCGGCGCGCGAGCCGTCAACGACGCGAAGCGAGAGCGTGAGGTGACCAGAGCGAGCCAGCCACCACCGTCCACAGGGAGCCAGCAGGCAGGTGAGACCGACAGACTGCGACTGGTCCGAGTCTGTTGGGCGGCCGAGCCCGACCCAGCGGCCATCTGGCACCTGGACGGGCGGCCGCGGCAAGGCCGCGCCCAGCTGCCGGTGCCGGGAGCGTCGCTGCCGCAGTGCCAGAGCTGGCAGCGGCCACTCGGGCGGGCTCGGACGGCGGCTGGGCGGGAGGGCGAGGCGGCCCGCTGGCGCGCCGGCGCTGAGCGGCACCGCGGCACTGCGCCGCACTTGCGCTAGGCCGAAGTGAACGGCTCTCCATGCGGCGAATGGTTGTGACCAATTCGCGAGTTGCACGAAGGTGTCGCAACCATTCGGTGAGTTGCACGAATGGTTGCGACCAGTAGAAACCTACTCGTGGAAGGAGACGGGAAGGCAAAGCAGTTGCTAGCAGAGTACTGCTGTAGTCCTCTACAGAAGCGTGCTTTTTTGTTTAATTCGCGATCGCATGGAAACCTCCCTTGTCTGCAAATTACACATCGCTGGGAGTGCAGAGCGACACGCAGCTCTGAAGCTGCAGCACGCTCCACGTTGTAACGCACAACTGCACGCGCATCGTCACACGCATGTCGAGCGGGGTGGGCGCGCCGCCACGCTTCCTGTTGACCCGGTCACGCGTGACATCGCTCTCGGTTTCAGCCCTTTATTAGAAAGGTTGTTGTTGTCGAAAAGTTACGTGTGGGGAAGGAATGTTTCTCAATGACCGTGTTGCTAACAGCATGGTAGTTATGTGCGTGGTTTATTGTGCTGCGGTAGTACTCCGGAACAAGTTTTAGAGCGCTCTGGGAAGTTGAACTGCACATGGGTGGATATGTCCCCCAGAATTGTTGTAATGAGTTATCTGCATAGCAAAACTATGTCACGGCGCGGTTTTAACATGGAGTCGACCATCAAGTACTATCCATAAGTGCGACGACTGACCTCACCGCAGTCACATCACGTTCGATCGCGCAAGCACTGCAAGTTTCACGAGGGTGGAGACATTCATCAGCCACCATAAAAGGCAGACGTTAAAAGATCAATATGGTACGCGTCTGACACCGCGTGGTGTGCCGTCACGAACATCAAAGGCATCAGACGTTTGGTTTCGACCGGAAGTGCCCCGAGCCAGCTGGCGTCTGACTCGACTTATTCTGAGCGCGTTATCATATGCGCCAGCCGAGCAGCACACGCCGGGGTCATTCGCGGCTGGAAACAGCTGCAGCTGACGCCATTTACCCGGCAAAGCCTGTGCGATCGCACAGGCACGGTGCCAACAGGAAGGCAACGGAAGCTGTCCCAGGTGGCCGTCGACAGCTCTGCAGGGAGGTGTTCTGACAGCCGGACCGGCGAGCGATGTGCGCAGTGCGTCCCTGACGCGTCCGTTGGCAGGAGCGCACGTCTGAAAGTGAAGCCCGGACATCAGACGGCACAAGGCGCGAAAACTCCTGCAGAGCCGACCGAATGATGATGCGTAACCAGCCGGGCTGGCGCGTATCCTCGGATGGCTGAGCTGACCTTGCCGCTGTACAGACGGCCACGTGCACTGCCACCGGACGGGACGGACGGCTTCACAGACAACCTCGCGCACCGCCACCGGACGGGGCGGACGGCTTCACAGACAGCCTCGTGCACCGCCACCTGACGAGGCGGACGGCTTCACAGACAGCCTCGCGCACCGCCACCGGACGGGGCGGACGGCTTCACAGACAACCACTTGCACCGCCACTGGACGGGGCGGACGGCTTCACAGACAGCCTCGTGCACCGCCACCGGACGGGGCGAACGACTTCACAGACAGCCTCGCGCACCGCCACCGGACGGGGCGGACGGCTTCACAGACAACCACTTGCAGCGCCACTGGACGGGGCGGACGGCTTCACAGACAGCCACATGCACCGCCATTGGATGGGGCGGACGGCTTCACAGACAGCCACATGCACCGCCATTGGATGGGGCGGACGGCTTCATAGACAACCACGTGCACCGCCACCGGACGGAGCTGACGGCTCCACAGATAACAGCATGCGCCGCCCCGCCGGACGGAGCTGACCGACGCCACACCTACGCCGTCATCGCGACGGTGAGCTGGGCGCGGAAGACTGCGAGCCATGCCAAACCCGCACCCACTCTGGGCGGGGTCGAGTGAACACGTCATCAGTAGCTCCGTCTGCAGCGTCAGCAGAAACTGGCATCGGTGTTACAGCCCTTCGGCAGATATTTCTTACGCATATTTCATGGTTTGTTTCGCCACTGTCTGCGAATGTTTCCGTGCTGATCAGGAATGTCAATTTTTGTAAATTGGGAGGGACCAAACTGAAGGCCCGACAGCCTACCCCCACACACTTTTTTTCTCACCGGATTTAGCCCACTATATTTTGATTTAACGCAATGTTTTTAATTGTTATAATTTATGAAAGTCTTTAATTTAGGCAGTACAGAAGTTATGCGGAGTTGAATCCAGGGAGCAGGCACTGGACGCACGCGTCTCTTCTGATCAGCACGTG